GCTCTGAGGAGAAGGGCAAGGAAGTGCTCCAGAACATCCGAAATGAGATATCGGACCTGTTGAATAAATCAGAGGACCCAGTCCAAGGCATTGAAAAGGCGGCGCAGAGGATCGAGCAACTCAAGGAGCTTTCGCTAGTGTGGAAGGACACAGCAGAAGAAAAGGGCAGAAACAAGTTTATAGAAGGTCTCGCCAAGATGGTAGAGGATAAACACCGGGACTTGATGAAGGAAATGGAGCAGCAGGCGATCAAGGAGAAGGGTAAAGTCGAATCACGATCACGGAAAGGAAGCGTCACGAGAGATGCAGCTGTGGTGGAAGATACCAAATCACCGGGTGGTTTTGGTCTAATTAGCCAGTTGCATAAGCTTAGAGGAGGTCTTTGAAAAGATTACCACATACGGTAAAATAGACATTAAAAAATCAATTAAAAATCATCTCTTCCATTGAGCTTATTGTTTAACACTGAATAAACAAGCTCCACTCAAGCTTCAACCGTGTAAGTACAGTGCCAAGCACCGTTTGTTTGATTGCTCAGCCAATCGCTCCACTTACAGCATAACAAGATCAGTCTGGGGCACTATTTCCGTTTCTGGTAGGCGGTAAAAGCAACTAAACAGGCGCCGCAGCGAGGTCATGCCTCTCTCTGCCTCTCGCTCTCTACGTTTGAGCCGAGACAATAGAATCACTCAATTCTAATACTTCCTTGCTTTAGATTGTATGGCACCGGCACTAGCAATTCTCTGTCTGCCTGTGCTATTGTTCTCTCGAATCAATACAAATCTATTGTGCAGTAGATTCTTTTAGCGTTTGTCTTGTCTATTGCCTACTCGCCTTTCCTTGCTCTTAGCTCTTTTCTTCAGCTTGCACTCTTTGCTTCCTCCACCCTTACATCTTTCCTACACATAGCCACGGGAGATTACGACTCTCCCTCTCCTCGACTTTTCTTCCTCTCTCAGTCACACAGAACCAATATCGGCACTTCAAAAAATCAATTATACATACTCAGCAACCCTTCGCAATGGCCGCCAACGACCCAGCGGCCCCTGCTAACATGGGCGGACGATCCGACCGACGTTCTCCCCCTCCTGCTTCTCACTCCAAGCGAGATCGTAAGAGGCAAGCTCTTATGGAGCGACTTTCCAGCATGACCGATAAGTTCCATAGGGAGCGGGATATGACATACCGCGACCAGCTGCAAAAGATCCAATTCGACATCAATCTCGTCCAGCGCTTCGATCCCTACGATCCCAAGATTCTCAATGTGATCGGCGAGCTTCAGCAAGAACATACCAATACTCAAGGCCCTCCGGTCAACGCCGAGGATGCCAGAAGTCTGCTAGACATGGCCGGCATTCGGTTTTCTGATTTTATCGCCGAGGTTGAAGATCTCGTAGAAATTCGTGACTTTCAACTGACACAGTCCAAGGTGAGAGGGTGTTGCACGCCACGCAGTCATGTTTTTTCCCCACCAACCACTAACGCCAACAGAACGAGTACGAGCGACGGCTTCGAGAGTACGAAAACACTTTTGCTTACAAGGTCGAAACCGCGAGGCGCGAGCACAAAGCTCTTACGAGTACTCTCCGCGATCGGTTGATCAACACCCTTACCCACAAGAAGAATCGACTTAACCGCGAGAAGGAAGTGTTGGAGATCAACGACTCCAATGCCTTGCTACTCAACCCGAACCAGTTCAGTTTGACCAACCCTGCGAGTCCCGGCGGTCCCCATGGCAAGCGAGCCACACGTCTGCGCAAGGACGCCGACGATTTGCAGATGTACTCGGACAACAAGAAGCGAAAACGAAACGCCAACGACGACGACGGCTCGCCTGTCCCAGCTAGACGTGCCCTTGACAACCACAACACCACTCCTCTTTGGCAGTCTGAGAAGGCTCGCGCCGCTGCCAAGCAGAACGGTCCTGTCTACAGTATTGACAAGCTGTTTACCGATAAGGAGCTGTCGCTTAACTACAACACAGCTGCTCTCGCTGCGCATCAATACATTCTTCGCAACCGCGTTAACGGCAGTGGTGGGTCACCGGAGGACAGTGATTCTGGCCAAGGTGATGCCAACGGCGACCAGGACGTTGATTCTCTGCCCTCCGCTCCTGCAATGGAGCGCTCGGTCTCTCATGCCACTCGCAGCAACCGTGGCGGCGGTACCCATAACTTCCTCGACAGTAACATTCTCGGTGTTGAAGGCGTCGCCAACTTTGAAGTCAACAACCTGGACATTTTGCACTCTCAGGAGCCACCCAAGATGCCTCCTCCCGTACCTCAGCAGTACCTCAAGCCTTACCCTCGTACCGCCGATCAGAACTTTCCTGTTCCCCTGTCCAATGACGACATTGCCTCTGATCTGTCAGTCATGGGCTACTTCAAGCAGTACGACGCTGCACACAAGCCTGGAGCTCATCTAGACAACCCAGCTGGAATGCGTAAGGTCCTTGCAGCTGTGGCGGTACCTTACCAGAATTCCCAGTACGTGGCTTTCACCAGCGCTCCTCGAGAAGACCCAGAGCACGTCCGCGATTCCCTTGGCCTGCCTGCCATCAGCAGCCTGCGAGACCAGCCCAGCCCCGCGAACGCTGCTGCAGCCCCTTCGGTGGCAGCCCTGTCAAGTGCTGCAGTGCCCATGAGTCGCCAGAGTAGTGCCGGCGGCGTTGCCATGAGCCGTCAGGGAAGCAGCAGCACCCGTGGCAAAGGACGCAAGTAATAGTCATTTGCGAACCGAGGATAAATGTCGTCTTTTTATACTATTGCAAGCGCGGCGCACAGGCGTAGCATCATCGTTTGGCATATGACGGCATCTGACTTTACGAAGTTCGGAAAGCTGCATCTATGGGTGATGTTCTATTTGTTTTACTCTGATTTGAAAAGAGAGATTGGTATTCAGGGTTTATTGGCACAATGAGCTGAAGCATCAGGGAATCATGTTTACTTTTACGGTTTTACAATGGCATCAGGCGAAAAGACTGGATGGATAGAAATAGAATGCCTTGCTTATTATTTCCTTATATGAGTATGAAATTGAACCAATCTGTAGCGATTCTCAAGTGAAAGAATTATGCCATCGCAAAAGACCCTGTCCGCCAAGTTCTAGCTTGTCCCTTCTTCAACAAAAACGAGTTCAAGGGCCAAAGACCAGTGTGCGGACCTCAATGCTCTCACGACCCTCTGCCTCGGGGCGAGTCCTTAGGTCCTCAAAGGCAGTATGCGGTACGCGGCCCTTGATCTTGGAGCCAGGCTTGAGTGACTCGCTGTCAAAACATTCTAGCACCAACCGCTCGCTGCCCTTCATGCCACTGAGGTAGTGCCATTTCTGCTCTGGGTTATGACGAATGGCCGCAGTCCAGCCGCGGTAGCCATCTGGATAACGATGTTCAACGGGTACAACATCATCGTCCTCTACAGAAGCGGAGGACGCAACGGCCAGAGGGAAAGACTCGAGGGGTTTCTTGGTAAGAGGTCGCCAAACGTTAACAAGACGGTAACGATGCTTGAGGAGCTCATCTGCCTCGTCCGGGAAATATCTGCGAACTCGCTGAGCCACAGCTGCGGCAGTCTGATCAATATGCACGCGAGTCACGGGGCCCCGAGCAGCATTGGATGTCTGTCGACGGATAGTGTGGTCAAAGAAGAAGACGCGGTTCGAGCCAGGGACCGTGTTGAGAAGTAGTTGTTCCACCTCTGGGTAGTAGTTTGCCTTGATGGAGTCATCGTCGACAAAGTCGGTTTCACTCGAGGGTGGAACATCCTGGATGACTTGGAAGGCATCGTGGTCTAAGCTGTATTCTAATTCATGGCCGCGGATATCGTGGATGGTGGTTGGCTGAGGGTTATCTGTGAAGTTGCGCTGTGGTTGACCCTCGGGGGGAGTGTCAACGAAGTTGAAGGGAATTGACTTGTCCGTGGGAGGATTGAAGAAGTTAAGGGTTGCTGTGACATCGCCACGGGGAATGGTTGATGAGATAGCCATTGTGAGGTCAATAGTTTGATAGGTAAATATATATTGTGATTATATGAATAATACACTTGTTGTAAGTGCTTAAGTATTGATGTTATTCAAGATTGGATGCTTTGTTAAATGAGATGCTTTCTGAAGCAACTCGCTCCTTACACGGCTCTTTATACTTTCATCTGCACTCGCAAATGCCACCATCATAAGAGATGGATTTCAAATCACAAAGTGATGCAATTGACCATCCTGTACCAAATTTGGATGTCAAGTCGTAGAGGTTTGAGCACGCCATTTTGAAGATGCATAACCGTTGGCTACTCGTCAATTGGGAGGGCGTGGCGTACGTTATAATGTAGCGTTCGATTACTAAAGAGGCTTGATTACTGTACAGGCAGACAGGGCGTTCTTTTACATGGAAGTCTGGTAAGTGAGTAAATTATAGCTTCTTTGACCAATGAAAATGGCAAAATGAGTCTGTCGGGAATTATGCGGGTTTTATAAAAGCCAAGCTCGAGATGGATATCGCGTGGTTGAAGAAACCATTATAGAGACTGTTGTGTTAAATCAATCATGACAGTGATGATTTATTATATGCACGGCTGTCATACGATAAATAATAATATTGATCTACAGTGCAAGTACCAGAATAATAAGCAGAGACTCTCCTTCCATCATCCTGGACCAATTGCTAAATTTAGCCCCCTTTTGCTCCATCGCTTGGTGGCCTAATTTCTTTCCTGTCATCGCGTCCATCTTGAGGGGAAGCTGGACTGGGCTTGTTTTACATCTACCGAGTCTCAGTAATTATCGTTTATGAGTCCACGGATGTTGTTGTTTCCAATGTCACTCTAAGCTGCTCCCCCCTGTTTTATCGTTGCTTCTATTGGAGGATCATCAATCATTCATGTCTCATCTTTTGCTCTGTTTCTACTTCTGTTTCTGTTTACCCCCAATTATCACATGAGACGGAACGGACAAACCGACTATGTAAAAAGACTTTTGTTCTCTATTCAATCTTGAGAGATGAACTCGCAATGTCGTCACCTGTCATTGTCAACCCTCGGCCTCCTCCGGCTCAGCCTCCACCGCAGTCCGGCGTATCGGGGGCCGGATCGGGATCCGCTGCGCCTCCGTCCTCGGACCAAAGCTTTACCACCGTACGCCCGGGACTTCCAGACCGGCGCGTCTCGGAGCACTCGGTCGACAATGCTTACGTTGATTTCATTCTATTCTGCAATCCAGCAGTTCCCCTCTCCACGGATACGACCTGCTTACGCGAGGCCTTCCGCAACCCGCCTCGTAGCGGCGGCAAGTCCTTCAGCACGTTTGCCATCTACGAGCTGGTCCGCAAGTTCTACAACGGCGATATACGCACGTGGACAGAGCTGACGACAAAGCTTGGAGTTGAGCCTCCAGACCCCAACAAGGAGGAGAGCGCACAAAAGGTGGCACAGTATGGGGTCAGGTTGAAGGTATGTGATATGTTTGGTCGCTCTCCCAAAGTATACCCACTAATAGGGCTGAGCTAGAAATGGATGAATTCCATGCACGTCAAGGCCTTTTTCGAGTATCTCATGGACATACCCAATGATTACTGGACAAGGATACCCACAGACAGCAATCCTACCAGCCAGCCCATACGGGATGGCGTGGCTCTCGAGGATGACATGGCCCTGAGGGCACTATTCCCACATATCCGGCCCAAGAGAGGTCGAAAGCGTCCAGTAGAAGATGACACGGCCACTTCTCTATCTCCTGCGCCAACTCAGGCTCAAATCCAGACCCATGGCCATAGCCATAGGTCTCACCTTGCCCCATCGTCAGCTGTTGACGGAGTAAGCGGTCCCATGTCAGCAGATCCATCGAGATTAACTGGTGCACCCTGGACACCAAGTGACATTCAACAAACTCCGCTCTTCCGATGGCCACAGTCTGCCATTACACCAACGTCACGAAACTCTTTCTGGGATGATGCTCTTGAACCGCAGTCTGCTGTGACGCCGTCCAGGCCGAAACTCGCTACCCAGCGTAGAGGTCCCAAGAATGTCTCTTCGGCTTGGCGACCTGGAGTTGCCAACGGCACTGTCAAACCAAGAGGAAGACCACCAATGAACAGAACTTCTGTTGATGTATCTCTGCCACCCTTTTCAGTTGGAACTACCACTGCTACAACTACAGATGAAGCCGAGTCTGAACCTGCCGCCCCCATCTACACTCCGCCAGTCTCAGTGGCTCCTAAGACAGATGACGGACCGCCTGGAGGTCCCGTCTCGATCCCTTCGATTACATCACAGCCGCATCCTATTCCACCACGGCCTAGCCGGCCAAGTATATCTTTGACAGTTCCCAACCGGCCTTCTGGCAGTGTGAGACTTGCAACTCCTCCTCCGCCAGTCGTCGTCATCAACGGACAGCCCAGTGAGACTCAACGTTATCCGCACCCAGCATACAGCGGCATCCCACCGTCACACTTCTCAAAAGCTACGCAAGAAGCCGCTGCGACGAGTCGACAGCGGGCTCAGAACGAAGAAGAAATGACACATCCCAAAGACGTCCCTCGGTTCTACTTTGAGAGACTCGAGGATCGGACGAACGTGGACGAAGTCATTGCATACATGATGCGCGGGTGCTTCGCAGCAATCTGGCTAGATGCTGAAGACAATCCGGCTCATGTTTGTACAACCCACGAAGCCATGGCCATCACCAACTGCATTCTCGAAGAGATGTACAAAACCGCTATATCACCACAAGCCTTTCTGATCAACCTAGCAGCCGTGACAGGAGGCGGGTACCTTCTGTCCGGGAAGAGCAAGATCAAGCGCCTGGGCGTAAATGACGGCGCAATGAAGTATAGCTGCGAGTGGGAGTACGGTTTCGGGCATTTCAGGGGCACGTATCATATGGAACAGATCGTGCCGCTGGAGCTGCTCGAGGAGCAAGATGCGAGTCTAGAGCCGACATCTGAAGGATCGGGAACAAAGCTCTCGACGGATGAGTGGCAGGCAAAGTACGAGAATTTACTCATGGCAATGGGTGAGAAGGATAAGAAGTTTATGGACCTGAGGACCAAGGTGACGGATCTTTTGAAGCAGCCACCAAAGAAATGATATCCTTTCCGTGGTTTGGCGTATTGATTTGAGGAAGCATCATAAGCGCATTGTGCAACTTTCTTTTTGGCTCGAGTATTTATAAGGCGTCTTGTTTCATCTTGTTTTTGGTATTGAGTCGCATGTGATTATTTGGATGGCTGCACATATTCAAGATTGGATTCTTGTGGTATTGTTTTTTCTTGGCCATTTACCTGGTCTTAAATAGCGGTGAAAGAGTTGTGTAATCGATGCGATCTCATAGTATGTCCCCATGATACGGTATATGTAAGCCGTCGCCTGCAAGTGCGATATTCGGATCGCGCGGAGGCTGACAGATACAGCATCACCATCCTAATCGAGATGCGGCACGCAAAGTGATCAACGGCGACTCCGAGAAGTAGGTGTAAGCGTTTTATAGTATATGTATGACTCGTGATATAGTTTGGATAGTCGTGATTTGTGCATTCATCATTTGCCAGCCCATCTGTATGGGTGTAAGTCGAGGTTGATACCGGAACCTTGCGATTGGACAAATGTACGAGCGGAGGGATCCCGATAAAAAAAACATGGGGGGGTCTAGAGAATGCCACAGATTGAGTGAACCGATAAGCTGGAAAATCTGGAGTACTGCAAGTCAAGGCAAGGGTCTTGTTTGTGAGAGATAACCGTGGTGTTGGGGCTGGGCTGGTCCTTTTTTGGTGGAGATGAAGCTACCCTAAAACGTCCAGTCATGAAGCAGAGAATTCTGCTGCCTTGAGCTGAGGCGACGCCAAGCAGCCCGAGAAAGCAGCCATTTATCGTAATTCAAATCCGGGGTTGAGTTTGAGTTTCAACGGTGAGGAAGTGAAAATGCCAACGTTGTGGCTGTTAGATAAGTATCACGTGTGATGTTTGTATTCGGTTTAATTTAAAGAATGGAAGAATGCAACGGTGATCCACGCTGTATCAAAACAACCAAGGAATATTTCCGCAACTTTCCTTGTCTACCTTGCATATTGAAGGATTCGGAATGCAGAATAGAAGTGGTCGGGCCATTCAAGTATGTAGATCACCAACAGCTACAGCTACAGCTACGTCACACGCATCAACGAGAGCCTCTGGTGTCTTTTGTCTGATCTGGTCACGAGACTAAGACGGGATCGTGTCGTTCCGTGTTGGTTAAAGTGTCATGCCACTAACCGTGGATTGTTTCTCGGAACGGGCCATGATATTCATGAGGGTCGTATAAAGGAACAGGTTGGGTTGCAGAGGAATCGCGTAGAGGGTACCTGTATGTCTGACAGTTTGTGACAACCGATGCGAGACACGGGACCCTTGCTGGAATGATGTGTTCTTTTGGGAAAGATGGAATATTTTGTGTTATTTTCCTAGTGTTGGAGAGTCGAGGCCCAAACAAAGTCAACAAGTGGACTGACCGACTGTACCTTGAGTCTGGGGCTGACCTGAACCGAACTGGCATCTATCAGATTGCGGAGATGCATGATGGATCGATCCTGGGTCAATAACCCGGGGTAGTGGATTACCTACCACAAGAGAAAGAGGACAGGGAACATTGCATGTTGTTTTGTATGATATGAACAGTGACTAAGGGCATTGATAACACATATTCCTAATTCCAATAAGAATCGACAACATCAATCATGCTAGTTAATTGTTACTCGTCAGGTTAAGCCAAGTCTTGTTGGTACACATGTAAAGTTGTTAATCCTTGACTACCCAGACCCTGGTCTTTTCTTCCCCATCTTCAAGCACACCCGCCAAAGCCCGAATAAAGCGCAACCGAACGCCGCATTCCCTCTCTTGATTATTGTTGATTATCGATTAACCGATTGATTAATTGATCGGGGTCTATAAACAACTCAATATCCGATGCGACTTGAGAATAATTTACTGCCACCAATTGTACTTTCGAATGTCGCCTCCAATTTTTTGACTCTTTTCTACCTAATTCATTACTATGACCTTTGGGTTCGTCGCATAATTCTACCTACTAACCGACGACGACCAGAGGAAAGGGCCTGGATCCTTCGACTCAACTTTGCCTCCTTCAAACTTTCTCGACCAATACCCACGTCAAATCATTCAGAATCACTTGCGTGATTGATCTCAGTGTTGTTATAACCCTCATCACGCATATTCTATACTCTGCGACAAACAGACAATCCTTGTTCTCTCTCTACTTTGACTGTGCCTCGATTCATCTCATTCCAACCCCACATTCGAGAGGCGATCGCCCGACGACACCCGTTAGGAATTATCGTCATTTCATCTCATCTCAACGGTCGCGACAATCAATCAAACTCTCGTCTACCTCGATCGCCCAAAAGCCTCAGGCCAAGCGATTCTCACCATTTATTTACTGCTGGCCTCAGCCATATTTGCTCTTGGGTAACGGCCCTTCTGTCCTGCCACTCAGTCTCATCTTCAAATCAGTCATACCCGCGTCACTACTAATTGGGCCGTCTACTTTACAATATGGCGCCGAATCGCGGCGAAGACGATGTAGAGCGGTACGGTCTATACCCATGCTTATACTCCAAATCATGTATTGTCGATCCCCATGCTGATCAATTGTTCCCAGTCTATCAAGGACCACCAACGAATATCCTTCTAGTTCAATGATCGAACATGCACGGCGTCCCTCAGAAGCTTACGTTAACCTGCATGCAAACGTTGAAGCCAAGTACGTCCACTCGAAGCACTGTCTCATTACCCTTCACCACTGACATCACCAAGAATCAAGAATCCTCTCTGGGGACTTCCTCGAGCAAGACTCTTAGCCGATGTGGACGACTTCTGCCGCAAAAAAGATCTCGACCATTATCGCCCTCTCATCCGCAAGGGTGCTCTTGTCGCTCAGGACCCCACTGGCTATGAGGATATTGAAGGAGACGAAAAGCTCAACGATGAGGAGATCCAAGCCCTCAGGGACGAAATCCTTCACAAGTGGCGAGTTCCCTTTGTCCTCTACTTGACCGTTGCAACGTGCTCTATCGGCGCCGCTGTGCAAGGCTGGGATCAGACAGGCTCAAATGGTGCCAACCTCGAGTTTCCTTATGCTTTCGGCATTGGTGGTGATAGTATACACGACAAATTACTTGTTGGTCTTGTCAACTCGGCGCCTTATATAGGGACAGCTCTCTTTGGTTGCTGGCTCTCAGATCCTCTCAATGCGCATTTTGGCCGCCGCGGCACAATATTCTTTTCAGCAAATTTCTGTCTTTGGCCTGTCATTGGAAGTGCTTTTTGCAATAACTGGAGGCAGCTTTTTGCGTGCCGTATACTTCTTGGTATCGGCATGGGTACCAAGGCTTCAACAGGCAAGTCCTCTTTCATCTATACAGCCCGCACGGTATTTGCCTGCTCAGAAACTAACTTGCTTTGATAGTTCCCATCTTCGCTGCCGAGAACTCTCCTGCCCCGATTCGAGGTGCTTTTGTAATGAGCTGGCAAATGTGGACGGCTTTTGGTATCTTTCTCGGAACCTGTGCAAATGTCGCTGTGACGAAAATCGGCCACAATGCATGGAGATACCAATTAGGCTCAGCTTTTATTCCAGCCGTGCCTTTGATGTTTTTGATTTACTTTTGTCCAGAATCACCCCGTTGGTACATGAAAAAGAACCGCTACGGCGATGCGATAAAGTCCCTGTTACGACTTCGAAACCACCCGGTACAGGCCGCCCGCGACCTATACTATATCCATGCACAACTCGAAGTCGAGCTCGAGTTCATCGGCCAGGGAAACTATGCGAAACGTTTCATCGAACTGTTCACAATACCCCGTGTGCGACGAGCCACTTTGGCGTCATTTGTGGTTATGATTGCTCAGCAGATGTGTGGTATCAACATTATTGCCTTTTATTCGACAAGCGTTTTTCGAGATGCTGGAGCCACCGATAACCAGGCTCTACTGGCATCGATGGGTTTTGGTCTGGTCAATTTTGTCTTTGCATGGCCTGCAATATGGACAATAGATACCTTTGGTCGACGATCTCTGCTGCTCTTTACGTTTCCTCAGATGGCATGGACATTGCTTGCGGCAGGCCTATGTACGTTAATTCCGGGCACCGGCGGACTCCACATGGCACTAGTGGCTCTCTTCGTTTATCTCTTCGCAGCCTTTTACTCACCCGGAGAGGGACCTGTGCCCTTTACCTATTCCGCCGAGGTGTTTCCCTTATCGCATCGCGAAGTGGGTATGTCATGGGCTGTAGCAACATGTCTGTTCTGGGCAGCGGTTCTGTCCATCACCTTCCCATTGATATTAGCGAGGTTACACGCCATCGGTGCCTTTGCGATGTACGCGGGCTTCAACATCGTTGCTCTGGTTATGATATTCTTGTTCCTGCCGGAGACGAAGCAACGTACGCTAGAGGAACTGGATTACATCTTTGCAGTACCTACCCGCGTGTTTGTGAGATACCAAGTTACCAAAGTCCTTCCCTGGTGGATCAAAAGATGGATCTTGTTCCAGCGGGAAGCCAGGTTGGATCCGTTATATCAGTTTGACACAGTTGGCGAGCCGGAAGACAGCCACGGCAGCGACTACGGGTATGAGAACGACAAAGCGAAAGTCGAGCTGAAGGATACCATTGGACTCACGTCAGGGGTTCAGACGACAAGATGAGGTCGATGTTTGATGTGGAGCGAGTGATATAACGACTCTGGCGTTTTGGATTTGATTGTGACGATATGATTTGGAGCAATTTCCTGGCTAGTACTGCTGCTGTACTGTACTGCACTTCATGATACCCTGCATGACAAAGTAGCAAGCGAAATGATATTGGACCAATGTCTTTTATTTGAACGGAGATGATTTCCACAGCCACTAACGCTAGTAGTGCGAGCTGAGTGTCTTAGATGATGTGACGTCAGAGGAACAAGTCATCATGACCGCAGCTATGTTGTTTCTGCCACTTTCAGTCCCTTGAGTCCCTACCTGGCTTGTTAGTTAATGAGCAACTCATCAAAACCCAACAAGCCAAGTTGAAGCACAAATTCACCGAACTCTTTAGTAACTGCTTAGTGACGTCGTCGGGGCCACGAGCCGACTTTACAACAAGCACCTGTGGACTAAGAAATCTGAGCTGAGCTGAACTATTGAAACGGACCGTCTTGGCTTTGGTGAGACCCCGAAATTCCGTCATCAACTGAGCTCGGGATTTGTGCCCCACGAAACAAGAACCAAACAAGACAAGAATGGTGATCGGCATCTCCACTTTGTTGTTGTCCATTGATCAGCATTCGGCTGTGAGAAAGAGGCTAGAAAGAATGCCCGAAGAGCGGTTGTCATTCTGGATCAGGAAGCATTGGCAAGATGGCCGAGGCCGAGGTTGCAGAGCCTAATAACCACCTAGCACAGTTCTGGTGGATTGGCACATTTAACGTCATGGTGTTTTATGCTGCGCGCTTATCATGACAATACAAGTGCTACAGGTGACGACAGACGGTCTCGCTCCATTTTCCGCGATTTGATATCGAGATATCCGATACGTCATGAAATACGAGCTGGGGCGTTGTTGCAGTACTGGATTGACGAGCACAGCACGGTCAAGCTTCCCCGGAGGATGCGTGATCGATTAGATCACGTTGCATCCTCACTGACCTCTTCCTGCTCGTAGCGGAGACGTGGTTGTTGGTGATCGACCGACGTGGATTCCAGACTGATAATGAGATCGGCATTGTGATGTGGAGGGTGTTTCTGTAGTTAGATGATGGGCATGCTGGTGGATGGCAGGACATGGATACTGCGGGAAGATAGTGAGACATTAAGGGTTCAGCGGTTAGAAGAGGAATCTGATGATGACGAAGTTGAATATCTACTATTTTTTGTTGACGGTTGTGTTGAAGTTTGTAAAGAAGAAGTAAGAAACGTCGTTGCTTGAAGCGAGATGTTGACCCAGTCTGCTGGTCTTCTCCAGGATCAGGACCAGGACCGGCCAGAGGGTTGCATTACAGAAGACAACCAGGACATTGGGACCCTGACAGACAGTGCAGCGATAACAGTACAGCATAGCACAGTGTATCATTCGTTCAGGAACCCCAATTGAGTGTCGTGTTGCGAGAGTAAAAGGGACCGCAAGAACGGTTTCACATTCATCCATGCATGCATAGCTCTATATTTTCCAACACAGTCATATTGCAGCATATATTTGCAAAACTACAGTGAGGAAAAAAAGAAGCAAATATTCTCCAGTCTCGACTCTCTCAAACCTCTACTAGTTTTCAATTCTTAACACGGGTCAATGCGGATTACCTGTCAACTAGCAACCGTTTTGATTCTTTTCTTTTCCATCTCATAAACTGTTATTTCCATCCCGACTCGACACGTTGACAAAAACTAACCGGAACTAGTCATTTCGTGTCTGCAGGGGCTGCAGGGCCGACCTGTAGTTGAACCACTGTTATATCGTGATTCGGTTTCTTGGGTTTTCAGCCGGTGGCAATATAGAGGGGCCAGTCGAGGAAGAAATCATTCCATTTGTAGATGATTTTTCCAAGATTTATTACATGGTCGAAAAACTATCACATCATCTATATGAAAGAGAGGCTGAAGCATAATGCATGGGAGACATCGGGCAATGCTTCTCTCTTGGCATTAAACCAATATCATATGTCAATCAGTGCCAGTTGATGCTATTGAAGTAGATATTTGCAGTTCTGCAACCATCAACAAGAATTCGTGTTTTTTTTAATGGTGGCGCAAATAGACGCTAGAAGTTCCTAAAATGGTAGAAAAGGGCTGGCTCGTTTCGTCTTGTCTTTTGTTTTGGCTACAGGAGTAGGTTGCGCGTCAAAGTCAAACGCTGGACGCGGTCCGAAGAGGTGCTAGCCTACCTAAGCCAGGCGTTGAAAAACACGAAGGAGGAAGTTGAGCCGTTGAAGGGTCAAAAGGCTAATAGTTAGTGTAGAAATTGTTCGCCGGTTGCTTTTTGCTGTGGAACAACAAAGAATCGAAAATAAACCTTTGTGATGTCGCTGATGGACAGACTATGTATCATTTGACTTGCTGGCGAACGATGTTTAATACTACCGTTCATCGTTAATTTGACCAGGACCGCTACACAAAAGGCAGTCGTACAGTGAACGTTTCACTGTGATTGAGAAACATCAGCTCTCGATGTGAGATCGGGAGATGGATCACTTGAGATCTCAAGCATCGGGTCCATCTTTTCCATGAGAAGCTGGACTCTGGGCTAGTTGAAGCTTTTCGCAGTGGGTAAGAAAAAGGTGGAACCAATATGGAGAAGATACGGTTATTATTAACTTAGCCGACCGATGACTGATCTTTCGCTCTCGTATCGAATCTACTGTCTCCATCTCGTTGGGGCATGCGAATACCATGTCGTGTCGCCATAATTACAGTAGCACTGCGGTATACTATGTAAGATGATGGGCTGTTGTTAATCAGCAAAACTTAAATGTCATGCATTCTTACTTTTGCCTGCCCGTTCGTTACATTCGGTTCGTACCAGACCAGACCATGCCATCCATGTCTTGCCTGATCCTGTGTTCCTATCAAGTTAAATTATAAGATAAGCTGCACTGTATTCATGAACCGACGTTCGTCCAGTCCGAGTTTTTCTTTGGCTCTGGCCGCGTAGTCCTCGAGCCCGATTGGGAGACGTGAAACAAAGGGGGCATTTGCGACCTGTCAATGGCTGTCTGTGGCTGCCAGGGGCGGCGCCTCCCCCTGGCCCGGCGTTGTAAAACGTCGTTTTGGAGTGCTGCCATTGGAGGGTACGGCTCAATTGGGAGGGGCCGAGTGCCCCTGAAAAGCCGGCACTGCAGTACTTAACTGCAGTGTAGTAAAAGCAGATGAAAGAGGGCAGAAAAATGGAAGAAAATTCAAGGAGCCTGCAGCGTGTCTGGGGACCCTGTCGCGGATCCTTTCAGCTGGTAGGGCTCCTACTCCAGTACAGTACAGTACAGTACAGGAGAGGAGACCATAAAGACCCAATGAGAATTGATTTAGCTTGCCTACTTTTCTACAAAGAGAAAAAGGCAGAGAAAACCCTGAAATGGTGGCTCACTGTCTGTGGATAACGATTGCCCCCTTCTTCAGGGACTTTGACCTCTGACCCGCTGGGCTGTGACCGATGGAAGCACTGGAGACTACCCAAGACTTTTTTATTTTATTAGTTGGACATGAACCCACGAGGGCCCCTTTCGCGAGCCAGACCTTTACGGGACTGTCGGTTTGTGAGTCCCGGCTTGGTATTCCTAGGATGTGCTTGGATGGCAAGGCGGAACAAACCTCAAATAGAAACAGACCTAACCATCCTTAGTACTAACTGTAGTAATCACTGTAGAAATCAACTGCCCACGGGCCGTGAGCACAGTGCCCTTCACACTCACATGAGCTTGAGCACCAGCCAAGAGCCAAGCAGTACTGACAAGGAAGGAGCAGGGAACCTCCACCCAATCCATGATCCCAGAAATCTCGTTCGTCGATGGACAATTGATTGACTTCAACTCTACTGTAGCTCTTCTTTCTTTCTCGCATCCGATCTTTCTTTTCCCTCTTCATTCTCCACAAGACGACGCTCGTTCCAGTTTCCCTATAACCACCCCGGGTCTCCCCTCTTCCTAAATCCTGTCTTTTTAGATCGCTTCCCATTCCCATCTTTTTGTTTGTTTCCCTCTTGTCTCTCTTGCTTCCTCAGTTTTGTCTGTCCTAGGTAGCACCAACCACCAACCAGCCTGTTCTTGTCCGTTCTTTCGCTGGAGAAAGACGGCAGATCGGATCCAACCCTCGTTTTTTCCTGTCCCGGAAAGCATTCTAAGAAAGAGAATTGTGTGGTCATCGGATTGTTATAGTGCTTTGTCTGCATTTGTTTCCTTGAATCCACTACATACATCATCGGCATTCATCATTGCCCACAACCCGCCTCTCGGCATCATCTAGCTCGAGCCAGTCTCCAGCAGATAGATAATTATCCCCTTTCCTATTTTACCCCCTGCTGGATCTCACAAGACTCTCCAAGAGACGATCATTGCGACTAAGGATTTGATATCCTACCGCCGTCTCACTCCCTGTCCGGCACTCCCAGATTTTCATATCCTAAAACGACCATCGGTTTCATCATCCGCTTGACTTGACCCGACGAGTCAATCACCTCTAGCACTTTCGGAATATTCGACCTGCGGCTTCGAATATCCCCGCGCCTTCGGCTCCCTGGTAGGAGTTCGATATATAATCGAGTCCGAGAATGGTCAACCGCCACGTTTCGCTCTCGCCTCGCAACTCGCGCCACTCCCACTCAGGCTTTGTCCCTCTTGGTGGAAGCAACAGCAACAACTCAAACGACATGGAAGGCATTCAGCTCACGACGGTCAGGAGCAACGTCTCTACCCGCAGCGGCCTCAGAAGAGCCGACATGGGACAGCCTATGAGCCCCGACGATAGCTCTTCTCCCACAGAAAAAGAGAATCTCAATTCATCCCATGGACATCGCGGACGTCGACGAAGAATTGGCGAGGGCCTCGCCCGTACTGGTACTGGAGGAGACGATGCTTCATTGAATGCAATGGGCAGACTCTACAACAAGATCATTAACTTCTCCGTTGTCACTCGATATCTTGTATACGTCGTTCCCGTTGGTCTTCTCCTGGCCATTCCCCTGA